AAATAAATAATTAAACTGTACTGTGTGACTTTATAGATGTATAATTGATTAAGGTTGTCAGTGGAGCCCGAGTCTGATACAGTGTTGGTCTGTTATTGTTTGATCTAATTTTCAGTATTAAATGTAGCATGATGTTTGATGTAATTATGTTATAGTCTTGTATGCATGAATCATGGTTTCTTTTATTATAGTTTATATTATGGTGAACCCAGTACTGTGTTGTCTTATTTGGTGTCCATTACTGGTTTACATGTTGTGTGTGTTTGGATGATTGAAACCAAGAAAAATGACAAAAAGGTTACGTGAATTGATAAGTGGATAATGTGGATAGCCTGACTAGATATCCTGGGAGATGGTGGACGGATCGGGTCTGTAGGGAACCCTACCGGGAACGTGATCTCTCATACCGGACGGAGTATGGAGACCTTATGTGTTTTAGCGCCCATACCGGACGGGGTATGTGGACGGCCCGTTTCACCCTCATATCGGACGGGGTATTGAGGTTCATGATTTTGGCGCCCATACCGGACGGGGTATGGGGACGGCCCTGGAATCAGGTTGTAAATGTTAATGGTTCACGTGTAGAGGGGACCCCCTATGGATCCCCATGGATACTAGTAGGCTAGTAAAAGAGGAAATCTGTTTTCTGATGATTGAAATGTAAAGGTGTGATATATGTTGTATTATAAAGTGTATATGATTTCATGATGATGATAACGTTATTGCTTTCATGTGTTGTTTTCATAGATCTCGCTGAGGTAAGTGGACACAGTAAAGGTTTTTATGTTAATAAATGAGTTTGTTATAAATTATGCTCCATTGGTCATTTTGTTTTATACCCACCTTTACTCCCGTGGCGGTGAGATAGTGTGATGTCTTTACTGAGCTGGTGTAGCTCATTCCTTATTTAACTATTTCAGATCAGGAAGACATTGTTTCCGAGCCCGTTCCGCAGAAGACGACGAAGGGGACGCCTAAAGACTCCATAGTTATATTTATAGTTCTTATTTCGAGTATCTCTTTTAGTTAGTTTGTTCTTTCATGTTTTGAGTTCGTTTTAGTTATTGTGTAAGGGATGCTAATCAAAATTTTTATTACGCTTCCGCATTTGACATTTTTCATACATATATTTCTTTTAAATTTCTGGGGCCGTTACAATCTATTAGTGTAATTATGATGTAAAAATTTTTTTAATACCAGTAAGTATAACTTTGATATGTTTTAAGTAACTTATAAAATAATTAAGGCAGTTCTAGTAATTAAGGATTCAAGAAATATAAAGTTAATAGAAATTAGTAACGAAATTAATAGAAATTATAAAATAGTAATATAGTTAAAAATAATTAAAAACATTTTAAGTTAATTATAAAATAATAAAAATAATAGATCACAGTGACTCGTTAGAGGTTTAAAGATCTTTTATGTATGAATCTTACACACATGTAACAGTGGATAAACTGAATTGATCCTAATTAATCAAATTAGATTGTTCTACCAAATCAAATTAGATTATTCTACCAAATCAAATTAAATTATTTTGACCAATTTATTTTAACATATATGTCAATAACAAATAAATGAGTTGCATGAGTCTTACACACCTATACTAATGGATAAACTAAATTGACCTTACTTAATCAAATTAGATTGTTCTATTAATCAAATTAAATTATTTTAACCACTTTATTTTAATATGTATGTTAATGACAAATAAATGAGCCACCTGGGTCTTACACACTTATATCAATGAACTGAACTAACTTTACTTAATCAAATTAGATTGTTCTTCTGATTTAAATTAAATTGCTTTGACAACCTTATTTTAATACGTATATTATGATAAATAAATAAACTGTAATGTAATATTTTTTTAATATAAATATGATTTTGTAAGATTATGTACTTAAATAATTTTTAACTTATTAATAATGGTTCAATAATTTTTGTTTAAAAGAACAATAGCAAATTAATAATATTACTATAGATTTAAAGGATTACACAACAGAAAACTAAAAATTTTATCCAAACAGACAAAATTCTCGAACATATTGAAAGTTTTTCCAACAAAAGTATCTACAATGCAATTATAAAGCAAACAATGGATGAAAAAGATGAACTCTAAAAGGATACTTTATGTCATCTTATAAAAAAACTTAACTCTACAAAATAAAAGAATAACTCAAAATTTTTTTTAAACTACTATCTTTTTTCACGTCAAAGAACTCGTTTAAAGTCCCATGCAAATTATTATCTCCGACAAATAAAAAAAATATTACATACTAAACAACCTCAATTTTTTCGAATTAAATTTTTTTTAATATCTATGAGAGTAATTATGATGTAGAAATTTTTTTAATACCAGTAAATATAACTTTAATATGTTTAAGTAACTTATGAAATAATCAAGGCAGCTCTAGTAATCAAGGATTCAAGAAATATAAAGTTAATAGAAATTAGTAACAAAATTAATAGAAATTATAAACTAATAATATAGCTAAAAAGAATTTAAAATATTTTAAGTTAATTCTAAAATAATAAAAATAATTGCTCAAAGTAGCCAGTTAGAGGTTTAAAGATCTTTTATGTATGGATCTTACACATATGTAGCGGTGGATAAACTGAATTGACCCTAATTAATCAAATTAGATTGTTCTACCAAATCAAATTAAATTGCTTTGACCACTTTATTTTAACATATATGTCAATGATAAATAAATGAGTCGCATGAGTCTTACACACCTCTACCAATAGATAAATTGAATTAAATTTACTTCATCAAATTAGATTGTTCTATTAATCAAATTAAATTATTTTAACCACTTTATTTTAACATGTATGTTAATGATAAATAAATGAGCCACATGGGTCGTAGACACTCATATCAGCGAATGAACTGAACTAACTCTACTTAATCAAATTAGATTGTTCTGCTGATTCAAATTAAATTACTTTAACCACCTTAGTTTAATACATATGTTATGATCAATAAATGAACTGTAATATAATATTTTTTTAATGTAAATATAATTTTGTAAGATTATGTACTTAAATAATTTTTAACTTATTAATAATAGTTCAATAATTTTTGTTTAAAATGACAACATCAAATTAATATTATTACTATGGATTTAAAGGATCACACAACAGAAAATATAAGATAAAATTAAAAATTTATCTAAATAGGAAAGTATCTACAATGCAATTATAAAGCAAACAATGGATGAAAAAAATAAACCTTAAAAGGACATTTTATGTCATCTTATAAAAAACCTAACTCAACAAAATAAAAGGATAACTCAAAACTTTCTTTAAATTACTATCTTTTTTCATGTCAAAGAACTCGTCTCAAGTCCCATGCAAATTGTTATCTCCGACAAATAACAAAATATTATATACTCAACAACCTCAATTTTTTCGAATTACAAAATTTTCTAATATCTGTGAGTGTAATTATAATGTAAAAATTTTTATAATACCAATAAGTGTAACTTTTGATATGTTTAAGTAATTTATAAAATAATTAAGGCAGTTCTAATAATCGAGGATTCAAGAAATATAAAGTTAATGGGAATTAGTAACAAAATTAATAGAAATTATATAATAAAAATATAGTTAAAAATAATTAAAAATATTTTAAGTTAATCCTAAAATAATAAAAATAATAGCTCATAGTGAACCATTAGAGATTTAAAGATCTTTTATGTATGAATCTTACACACATGTACTTCTGGATAAACTGAATTGACCATAGTTAATCAAATTAGACTGTTTTACCAGATCAAATTAAATTGCTTTGACCACTTTATTTTAACATATATATCAATGATAAATAAATAAATTACGTGGATCTTACACACATTTACCAGTGGATAAATTGAATTAACCTTACTTAATCAAATTAGATTATTTTACCAATCAAATTAAATTATTTTGACAACTTTATTTTAATGTGTATGTTAATGACAAATAAATGAGTCACGGGGGTCTTATACACTTATATAAGTGAATAAACTGAACTGATTCTACTTAATCAAATTAGATTGTTGTGCTAATTCAAATTAAATTATTTTGGTCATTTTATTTTAATACGCATGTTACGATAAATAAATAAACTATAATATAACATTTTTTTAATGTAAATATAATTTTGTAAGATTATGTACTTAAATAGTTTTTAAATTATGAATAACGGTCAATAATTTTTGTTTAAAAAGATAATATTAAATTAATATTATTACTATAAATTTAACCGATCATATAATAGAAAATTATAAATTTTATCCAAACAAACAAAATTCTCAAACATATTAAAAATTTTCTGAATGAAAGTATCTACAATACAATTATAAAGCAAACAATGGATGAAAAAGATAAACCCTAAAAGAATATTTTACTGTCATTTTATAAAAAACCTAACTCAAACAAAATAAAAGCATAAATCAAAACTTTCTTTAAATTATTATATTTTTTTACGTTAAAGAATCTGTCTCAAATTCTATGCAAATGATTATATCCTATGAATAAAAAAATATTACATATTCAACAACCTCAATTTTTTTTTAATTACAAAATTTTTTAGTATATGTGAATGTAACTATGATATAGAAATTTTTTATATCAGTAGGTGTTACTTTCGATATATTTAAATATCTTATAAAATAATCAAAGCAGCTCTATTAATTGAATATTCAAAAAATATAACATGATAATTATATTTAGTTGTTTTTTAAATTTATAAATACTTATTGAAGAGTTTGAGAAAAATATAAAATTATAATGTAACAAAAAACATATACCGTTGATAGAATTTTAAATCTTGCGATGAAACCCAATCCATCCGTTAAACGGACTGTACTTTTATTTAAACTGTGAAACGGAGACTGCCAATTTCATGAGCAGACATATATGTGTATATATATATATATATGTTCATCCCTTACAATTTAACTTTCATATTATATGCTCACCTCTTTTTTATTACATCAACTTATCGAAAAATCATTTCATAAGAAAAAAACCATCGAAAATCCAACAAAAAATTCTCTCAATTTTTCTGTTCGAACCAATTCTCTCACCAGAGCGTCCGAAAAGAATTTCACCGACTCAGTTTTTTTTTTTTTCCGCCAAAATCATAATGGGGGACTATTCTTTAGGAGGAGGCACTGTGTCATCCCCCTCCAACTCGCAGCAACTGCAGCGAGCGGAATCTCCGGGGCACAGGTGAGGGGAAATCGAGGGGTTTTGCCTCCTCATTATTTAGTGGTTTGCTGGGGTTTACGTGAATTGTTTGTTCTTTTTCGATTTTCCATGTTGTTTGACGATCTGGGTGTGTACGGTATGGAAGGAATTCGTTGTTGGATTTGGTGATTTTAGTTTTTTAGATTTTGTATTCTGTTCAATCGGCAAATGTGGTGGGGATTCAGGTTGTTTTTAGCTATGAAGTCTGAACGCGCAATTGTTTTCTCATTTTCTTTCTTGTTGGTTTACTGGTTAGATGTATTTGGGACTTACTTTGGTCTCCATTTCTTTGTTTAATGAGAGGTTTTGAGAATTCTAGAGTATCTGTCTGTCTCCGAGTAAGTTCAACTAGTTTAAACTAAATTCCATTAATAAAGAAGCATGATTTACTGTTTTAGTCTGTTTAGTATCTAGATTTGCAATTTTATTGAAGACTTAAAAGCAATGATTGGAAACTTCCTGACCCAGTTTCGGAATTCAATCTTCGGCCTTTTTATGGCCAAGCTAGAGGTTTGCCAATTAAACTAGCTGGAACTTTCTTGTTGAAATGTCTTAGGGATTTGAAACTAAAATGTATTTTCAAATTACTAATAAGAAAACACCTGAACTAATCAACCTACATCCTGTAATATATCTCGGTGGCAAGATCCACAAGCGTTACTTATTAAATATAGCTTAAATAGGTATAGTTTAACTTCAGTTCGCTAACTTTGTCACAAAGTATATGGTGGCTAATTAATTTAGTTTGCATACATCCATATCGGTAGCATTATTATTTCGCAAGTTCAGTGACGTCCATACGTTGCACAATAGTTGAATCTATATATCCAATACTATTTCTGGTGATTCATGGATATTCTTCTTCTTTCTGGTGGTAGCAATGTGTTTCAGCTTTTGGCAAGGAGAGAGATTTCTCCTCAGACAAGATGCTCTTCAAAAAGGTTGTGGGGAGAAGTGTCAAAGTATTGTCTTGATTCCTTTTCTTTAGCGAATGAAGCAGGAACAGATGCTAGAAGTGGTCTTATTTCATGGTAGTCTACAGTTTTCCCTCTGCCTTTTTCCTTGTTCTTCTCATATGTTTTTATGATTCAAGCAAAAACGGGCAATCAGTTTTTTAAATCAGCCTTGGTTAACTTCCTTACAGTTTTCCCTCTGCCTTTTTCCCTGTTCTTCTCATATGTTTCTATGATTCAGGCAAAAATGGGCTATCAGTTTTTAACTAGCCTTTGTTAACTTTCTTCTCTCTTAATTATTTCAGGGTAGAGTCAGATTCATTGCAGCATTTGTCGGCAAAATACTGTCCACTGTTGCCTCTCCAAGGTCACTATCGCAGCAGCCTTCAGCTCTGACGGGAAAAAACTTGCTTCTACACAGTGAGTGCATTTTGGATCAATGCCGAGCATCAATATGTAGTAGTTAGAATGACATCTGGGCCATGATATGCTTCATTTCATATTTTATTTTTTATTTTATTTCTATGTTATACTTGAACTGCAGTGGAGATCATACTGTCAAGATTATTGATTGCCAAACTGGGAGGTGTTTGAAGGTGTTGAATGGTCATCGGAGGACACCTTGGGTGGTAAGCCTCTGACATGCATCTCTTTGAGCCTTTTCTTATCTTTGTCAAATACATGCATCAAACCATCTACAGCTTGCATGCAATTCCTTCTTCAAGACTATGGCATATCCAAAAGTTTCTTTCTAAAAGGTGTTGATTAGGTTTTTGTAATTATATCCTTCTAAAAATGCTATTGATTAATGTGTAAGAAAACATCTGAGGCTGCTAATCGTATTTATCCCAAGAGGTGAGTTCATATCTCTGGTGCTGAAAATTTTCTGGTTGGAGGGAAGTTCCTCTTCCTTTCTTCTTTGTTTACTTGAATTAATGTGTAGTATCTTTTCGTTTTATTGCCTTGCCTTTGTTGATCATGGGGGAAGTTTTCGGATGTTCTACTGATGTATCATTGAGGCTCTTAGTTGTAGAGAGGTGGTTGTTTCAATTTTAGCATCTCGGAATTCTCTAAATTTAGAAGATTCAATATCTATTTGGATAATGGAGTATGGTGGCTACTTGACCTTATTAGTGGACTAGGCGATCAATCTGGAAAAATCATCATCAACTTTCACGGAACTGAACAACCAGTACTGGGCAGAGTTGCATCAGAATAGGCAAGTTAACTTTGTCACAATCAGAATTCTTCGTGGGAGGCAAAGTTTATGGATTATCATCCCTGAAGGTGAATGTGGAGCTGGTTGGAGGAGTCTGGGCCACGCAATTGAGATGTTGCTTTCGCCAGCTGGTTATTCAGATGATGCCAAAAGTTGATCCTCTGGAGAAGGTGAATCCAAGAAGGTCACAGGTATGGAGAATCTTAACTCTTTTGCAAAAGTGAGGGAGATAACAAGAAGGTTTTAGAGGCGGCGACTGGAAGAAGAAGAAAGCTGACATGGAGGTCCATAAAGGTAAACAGCCAGGTGAGCATTATTAAGATCAAACGGTAAACTTGACAGATTTGGAAAGTTAAAATCATTCTTTAAATATAAAAACAGAATTAAGGCTAGGAAGAGCATTTGGGTTAATAATGAGCTTGTTTGGCTTGATAAGGCAGTTACGGAGGATTTGATTTGATTGGAGAATAATTTCCTCTTAACTATGGATTACCAAAGTGGTTCCCGAGACACTTTCTGGATGGAAAAAAATCTAAAAATAAAAAGTTTCGTTCTCTTTCATTGGGTGGTTAGTGTAGGAGGAAGAGCTACATCACGAAGCTAGAACTTAATGATCGTAGTAATGTAAGAGATCAAGAGGTGATTGGTTGTATGGGTTTTACAAGCAGTTGCACGAGGATGAGAGTGTTAACCACCCTTTTATTAAGGGCCTTAGTTGGTGCCCCATCGATAGGGACAGAGCTAGTTGGCTTGAGTGACCATTTGATGAGGAAAACTTAAAGAGCAGTGTTTGGAATCTCAGTGTGGGGCAAGGCTTTTCGGCCAGATGATTTTGCTATGGTTTTCTTCTGAAACTGTTAAGAAGTGATTAAATGTGACCTTGTTAAGGTTTTTAGGGGTTATGCTTAAATCCCAAGGTGTTTACTAGTATGAACTCAACTTTTATCACATTGGTTCCAAGAAGGATCACTCCATTGAGGTGTCTGATTAGCACCGTGTTTGTCCAGTCACTAGTGTTTTTAAGATTATTACCAAAATACTCTCTCTAAAATTGCGTGAGCTCCTTGAGATTATATTGGGTTGTCAAAGTGCTTTTGTTAGGGGCAAGCAGGCTCTTGGTGCTTCTCTTATCACCAACGAGGCAGTGGGGGAAGGTTGAGAAATAATGAGTTGGTCTTCAATTGAGTTTTGAGAAGTTTATGTTGGGTGAATTAAGACTTTCCCGAAAAATTGATGGAGGAAAAAAGGTATTTTTGTGAGGTGGAGGAATTGAATTTTTGGGTGTCTTTTGCTGTTTTTCTGTTTAGGTGACTGAAAAACCTAAATGTTTGTTTTGGGGGACAAAGAGGTTTGAGATAGTGGGATCCTCCTCATTTCTTTTCACCATGGTGGTTGATGTGCTAATTTGTATGTTATGATGTGGCATATAGGGAGATCTGATTAAGGTTCTTTACATGGGGTATGATATGCTAGCGGTTTCTTACCTCTAATTTGTTGATGACAAAATTATTTTTCTTTCTAGTGATTAATAGCTTAGGTCTATGCAGTATCTTTAAGAAGAGTGGCCTATCACCTACTTGCTTCTTTGGGGAGAGTAATCCTCATTCTGCTTCCTTTTAGGATACAATGTAATGTAAGATGTCTAAACATGTAGTGTTGCGAAGGTGGTCTTTATTCCCCAGGAGAAGTCACTCTTGTTTAGGCGTTTCTTATGGTGTTTCCCTTAATTTTCTCTCCTTGTCCAAAGATCCTAGGTTTGTTGTGGAGAATATTGAGAAGGTGATTATGAATTTCCTTGGTCTGCTTTGAGCATGACAATGAGGGCGCACCTAGTTAGGTGGACCTCATGTTGTTTGTCCAAGTTAAAGCAATGGTCGTGGTACTGGGAATCTTTTTTGTAGAAATATATCTTTATTGGCTAAATGGTTATGGTGATTGCCTCTGAAATTGATTCTTTGTGGCTGAGGGTGATTAAGAGCAAATTTCGTCTTTATTGGATTACTGCGACTTTAATATTAGCTCTTCTACTACTCAATAAGCCCCTAAAATGTCTATTTCGAGCTTTTATGCTTCTTCTCTTCCTAGTTTGAGGGCGAACAATGTTCTCATCTTCCTTTTTTGGGAGGATCTTGCTTGGTAATACTCGATTGGCCACTTATCTCCTACGTTGTACAATTTATCCTAGAGATATAATACTATTGTTTCTGTCTTCATTGCTTTGAGGATCATCTTTGTTACAAAATGTTTTCTTTAGAAACCTCAATTATTATAAAACTGCTGACATGTTTCTTTGTTACAATTCCTCAATTCCGTTAAATTTTCTCCAGGTCCTGATCATAGAATTTGCCTTCAAACCCTTCCAGCATTGGTTGCAGGTCCTTTCCTTCTTAACCCATAATCCTTCGATTCTCTGTGATACTCCTGATAAACTTTTAGAAGGTTTATGTGTCTTCGAAGGAGAAAGTCTTTGTTTGGACAACTTTTGAATGGGCTAAATATTAACCAATTCTCTAAGTTAGTAGAATGAATCATGTTTTGTCCCTTGGGTGTGCATAATGTGTTATAGAGATGCTGAACCTTGTAATCACATGTTTCTTCAATGTGATATGGTTTGGAGTCCTTCGTCTCGGTTTATTTGATTTTTTCCCTTTTTGGATTTTTCCTTTTCACCTTAAGGATTTTCTGTCTTCTGCTATCCGAGATGCGGGTGGAGCAAAGAAGGTAAGGCTTTATGGCATGGAACTATTTTTGCTAGGTTGTGGGAACTTTGGTTGGGACAAACTTCAGGGATTTCAGAGGTTGTGTCTCTTGTTTTTCCATCCTTTGGGATATGGTTTCTTTTTTGGCATCCCTGTTATCTGAGCCCTTGGATATTTTAAAGATTATTTTTTATCTATTTTACATAGAGATTGGCCAACAATTATCTTTTGAATGTAGATGGTTTCTCTCCTTCTTGTACTTTTAATTTCTTTCATTAGGGAGGATAACTGGTCCTCCGTGATTGTGTTTCTCCTTCTCGTTTTCTAATAATATTTATTTTTCTAAAATTGCAGGTTAGGTTCCACCCATTTTGTCAAGAGATAGTTGCAAGTGGAAGTCTGGATCATGAAGTGCGCCTATGGAACGCAAATACTGGAGAGTGTATAGGATCACGTGATTTTGGTAATGGACATGGATTGATTTTTGTAACATTTTCCTAATGATGATTTGATTATTGTCCAGTTTGATAATCACTAAAAACTCATACAATTTGGTTTTCTGTGCAGGTCGTCCTATTGCTTCTATTGCTTTCCATGCTCAAGGTGAGCTTTTAGCTGTGGCATCAGGCCACAAGGTGAGGACTCTGTCACCTGTGACTTTTTGGAATTTTTTATTGGGCTTTGTTTTGACCGTCGGGCCTTTGAACTTGTCTGTCAGCTATATATATGGCAGTACAGAAGGCGAGGGGAGGCATCTTCACCAGCAATCATAATGAAGACACGCCGTTCTCTTAGAGCTGTGCATTTTCATCCTCTTGCTGCTCCATTTATTTTAACTGCTGAGGTAGATTTATGGCCTATTTATTTGATATTATGCCTTTCTTATCTGGAATGAATTTTTTTTATAATGATTTACAGGTCAATGACCTTGACTCATCAGATTCCTCAATGACACTTGCAACTTCTGTGGGCTACTCGCATTATCCTCCTCCTACTGTATATCTGGCAGATGCTCATACGAGCGAGGATTCAGATTTGGCTGATGAATTGCCTCTAATGTCTTCGCCCTTTCTGATATGGCCTTCATTTGCTAGAGACCGCGGCATAATATCTCTGCAGCATACTGATGAAAGTGATGGTTCAACTATCACACAGGAAAGAAGTGATCGTTCTGCTTCGGTGCGGCTTCTGACCTATTCAACTCCAGCAGGACAGTATGAGCTTCTTTTGTCTCCTATTGAACCTTACTCTTCTTCTGGGCTGGAAGAAGCAGGAAATAACCCTTCATCAACTGAAATGGAAATTGAAGTTCCTCATTCTGCAAGGAATTACTCGGAAACAATGGAAGTGCATCAGGAAGGAAGGGGTGCTCAGTTTTTCCCTTTTGGAGAACCAAATGGTTGGGAGCTACCTTTCTTGCAAGGTTGGTTAATTGGTCATACCCAAGCAGGGCATCGTGCAATTCATCCAGTTAATGATGGTGATGAAATACGAAATACTGCTCAAGCTGCTTCTTCAGCAAATAACAATGTTAGAGCTGCTGGTGGATTTGGTTCACGGCTGCATTCTTCACGGTCTCATATAACGTCCTCAGGTGGATCCAATGAAGACGCTCACAGCACTGGACATGATGGGAGTCAACCTCAATCTGTTGGCAGAATCCAATCAGAGCTTGCCACCTCATTGGCTCAGGCAGCTGCAGCTGAGCTGCCTTGCACCGTGAAGCTTAGAATATGGTCACATGATGTGAGAAATCCATGTGCTCCACTTGATGCAGAAAGATGTCGCTTAACCATTCAGCATGCTGTACTATGTAGGTAGGGTGTCTTGAACTATCATAATTCAGGCAATATGTTTCTATGTTAATCTTTTAGATTGCTGCGAGTTCATCCATTTTTTAAGAGATAATGAGCATTCGTTTGGGTTCCATATATTTAGAGAATTATGTTTTCTGTCTTTGCCTTTTCCCATGTGAATTGGGGCATTCACATGAAAAAATTATTGCAGTGAAATGGGGGCTCATTTTTCACCCTGTGGAAGATTTTTGGCAGCCTGTGTTGCTTGTTTGTTACCTCAGTTAGAAGCTGATCCTGGTTTACACAGCCAGGCTAATCATGACGTCATAGGAGCAGCAACATCCCCTACACGGCACCCAGTTTCAGCTCGTAGAGTCATCTATGAGCTTCGGATATATTCCCTTGAGGAGGCCACGTAAGTCTCTCAAACTCCGTATTAGTCGGAGCTTTGCTTGGTATAACCACCCTCCCCTTTTTCGTATATTTTCTGTGGTCTAATGTCCATTCTATTTGTGTAGATTTGGATTGGTACTTGCATCACGTGCAATAAGAGCAGCACATTTTTTGACGTCTATTCAGGTCAGGATGCAATTTCCTTCAGTCGATTTATGGGCTCCCTTGCTTCCTGTTTTCTTGCTTGTTATTCTGAATATCAATACATTTTATATCTCTTCATAGGGACATAACAACGTCATGTGTGAGAGTTTTTATTCCCTGATTTTATAACTTTTCTGTTGTGTGAAATTCTAATCTAATAGTTAAATGCAACATGAGATGAGATTCTTAATGACAATCCCAGGATGGCTGGGTACTAGTCATGGAAAGCTCTGAGTGGAGCTTTGGGATAGTGATGAGGTGTTTCAAATTATATCTTTCTGATGTTATAAATTTTATAAACAGGAAAGTAAAATCCAATTAAGTTTGTATATGAGCATTGTTTAATAGAAAGTAGGCAAACTATAGTTTTACCTTTTGTGATCGGTCTTATTGCAGTTCAAACTCTTTTTTATAACAGTTCAGTACTCTGTAGTTTGGTTATTTGCTTATTCTATTTAAAATCATTAGATCTTTTAGAGGACTTGACACGTCTGAATTTCAAAATAACACATGAACTTTCAGTGCTAAATAATCAAAATTAGGAAAAATAAAAGATTACAAGTTAATAACCGAAACTTATGGTTTTATGTGAAATGATATAAAACCAAACGACAAGGTACTAAAGGGTCAGAAGCAAACTATAGGGTTTGAAGCTGCTATAAGACCAAACCATGGGGGAGTGAACTGTAATTTTTGCCTAGGAAATATTGCCAATTCGAGTGCTAAGAGTACAAACTGATGTAGAAACAATTTCTTTTTTCCTCTTTGGTCATGCCAGTTAGAGTGCTAGTGATGGTTGGTTTCTGATTTCTTTTATCTGGAGGATATCTGTAATTCCCATATACTTTACAATTCTCTCTCGTAATATTTTTTTCTTTTACATATAAACATAGAAAATGTCTGAGATCAATATATTAGTGATTATCATCCATATAATTGAATTGTTATCTGACAGTATAACATAAATCAATTTCTATGATTATTTCCCTAAGTTGTGATATTTAATTGGTTAATTTTGTAACTTCCACTTGCAGTCCATTTGTGTGTTATCAAAATATCTAAAATGCATTTTCTTTTGTCTATTACCGGAGAAAAGTTTCTTAATCAGCATTTTCTAATGTATTATTTTCCTTTGTATGTTATTCTCAGTTCTCTCCGACATCAGAACATTTATTACTTGCATATGGTCGTCGCCATACTTCACTACTTAAAAGCATTGTCATTGATGGAGAAACGACAATGCCTATTTATACCATTTTGGAGGTAAAAGTCTCTGATTACTAAACCACCGAATATTTTAGCTTTCTTTTTTCTTGATGCAGTATATCAGTTATGTCTACAGGAATTTTCTTTTGAAAAAGATAATATATAAGTAAATTGGCCATTGTTTGTGCTTTTGTTGACTGATGCAAATTTAATATTGTTCCAAAGAAATTAACCAAATAACTTAGAAGAGTTTTGATCATGAGACTTGAGAAGACACCATCAAAATGCAAGTAACCTTAACATGCTGCTCTGATTATGACTCTGTCCTGATTCCTTTTAATTTCTGCTGTTCAACTGAGAACCAACTTGGTCAGTTGGTTGACCCACCTAACATGTGACTGGATCCTTTATTGATTTTATCAATTTCTTTACAACTCTTTCCTCTAGTCAAGAATAGTGGAGCTTTCTAGTCAAAATTTGAGGACTTCCCTCTCTTATTAAGAAGAACAGAACTTTCTGTAGTTAGATTTTTTTATTTAAGCTAGCTTTTCCTAAAATCTAGATGTTCCACAAAAAAGATTTCTAGTTAAACCGTGTTTCGACAAACATGCACTAAAAATGTCGTTTATGCGCAGCAGACAAGTATTTATGTTTTTAAGTTGCTATTGTCAGTAAATATTCATTGTCTGTTATCGATCTTAAATGTGAAATCGTGGATAAATCTATAGAAAGTAAAAAATCCAATTGCATAATAAGTGATAAGACAAGCTTAATGATGCCACCCCAGGAGTGGCCGTATTGCTGGGAAGTCAGTTGCTATTGTCAGTAAATATTCATTGTCTGTTATCGATCTTAAATGTGAAATCATGGATAAATCTACAGAAAGTAAAAAATCCAATTGCATGATAAGTGATAAGACAAACTTAATGATGTCACCCCAGGTCGTATTGCTAGGAAGTCAGTTGCTATTGTCAGTAGATATTCATTGTCTGTTATCGATCTTAAATGTGAAACTGTGGATAAATCTACAGAAAGTAAAAAATCCAATTGCATAATAAGTGATAAGACAAACTTAATGATGCCACCCCAGGAGTGGTTGTATTGCTAGGAAGTCATGGATTAAGGAGCTTCCAAGTCTGAGGTCCTAATTTCAAGCCATGGCATGCCTCATTCAGGTTCAAGCAGATAAGAGACAATGACTCCCACCAAATGAGTTCATAGAAAAAAAAAAGAAAAGAAATACTTATTGATGAAAACAGATGAGCAATAAGTGAAAATTTTGGGAAAACTTAATGAAATTGAATAAATATTTTACAATGAATCTATAGAGTGAATATCTAATCATCTTTCATTTTATTAATTAAATTGCATTCTAAAAATGGATATAGACATATGTTACCTAAAATTAACAGCCTGATATATTGTTTGATAACTATCTCTGGAAATACATTCGATATATTAGCACATAAGAGTTATTTGCACTTGTATTGATTCTATGCTTTATAAGATTGAATGTCCATTTCAGCATGCATAAATGATTGAGCTATCAATTTGTAGAGGTTGAACTACTGTATATAGACTGCTGTGTGGTTTAGGACTATGACACTTTTCAGATGTTTATTTACGCTTTAGCCCTAGTAATCCAGTTCATCATCTCTCAGATATATAGAGTTTCAGACATGGAGCTTGTGAGAGCTATTACAAATGCAGAGGATGAGGTTAATGTAGCTTGCTTTCATCCTTCACCAGGAGGTGGGCTTGTATATGGAACCAAGGTGTGCATTGGGCGTTTTGAGGAATCCGTTCTTTTGGACTTTTGTTGCTGATTTTCTAACCCCATTTATTTCTTTGTACTCAACACAGGAAGGGAAGCTAAGGGTTCTCCAATATGACAGTGCTCATGATATGAATCTTATACCACCTGGTTATCATGATCAGAGCATGTTTGAGGTAAAAAAGGGCTCTGTGTGTGTGTAAGTATTTTCATGAAACTACTAAAAAATGTGTTTTTGTAAAAGAAGAAATATTATTAGAATTTAGAAAAGCTGATACAATCAATATGGAATTAGAAGCTATCCTTTGGCAATTACATCAAGAAAAAGAACCGAAGAAACAACATCAAGGCCAAGGTACAATAACACAAAAAAACTGCACAGCTTCTCCCAAAGAAAAGCAAAAACAGTACCTTATTCCAAGGCATGTGCAACTGTTGAAACTGTAGTCTGAAAATTTGTAGCATTGCATTCCAACTATAAGACCCATAACCCGGTAAAAATAGGCCCCTCCACACCACCTTTTGCCCCTTTTCCCTCCAAAAACACACAAAGTACTAGAAATAGAGATTTCAAGCAAGGGGCTTCACCTGAATTCTCAGAAAGCAAGGAACTAACTAGATCCATCCTCAATAGCTTAAATTATCTGCTAGAAACCTATATATGTACATACATTCTGTTGTTTTTCTTTTTCTATTTTCTGACATTGGGATTTCTTTTTTCTTCTTTCTTGGAGGAACTGAGGAATTGTTTAACTGCCAAATTGTTTAATTTATTTGCAAATTTTTGGTACATGGGTGGGCACACCCTTGGTGTCAATATCAATATATACCTTACACTTATTATTTAAAAAAAAGTATTCGACTGTGAAATTCTTTTAAAGGTTTCCGCTGTGAAATTAGACAACATTGTTGGACTCTTTTTTTTTCGAAAACAGAAATATGATGACCATATGACATCAAGGGGATGCCATCCATAACTAAAGTGACTTGAAGCTCTGCCATCAATTCTGGTTACTATTATTACCATAGACCAATAGCACATTTTGGATGTGCTTATTTTTGTTTGCTGAGTTAGAGATATATTTGATTTTGCCAAATCTCTTACAGGATTCTAATCAAATTAAAAACATAGTTGAATTGTGTTATTATCATTATGATTATCTTTTGATTGGAACAGAAAACTTCAATACCAAATAGCACCAAGAGATACCCTCCACAACTAAAGTAACTTGAACTCTCTTGGTTCACTAATATTACCATTTCTGTTTTTGTAGGTTCCAGTTTACCCATTGGAGTGCTAGTAATTAATTGTGCTATCTACTTCATGTGTTGTGCAATTCATTTAAGTTGGTAAGTTCTCCCTGCAATATATACTTGAAGGTACTCCAGATTAGTTCCATAAGTTTTCATCTACATGATAATAATTCATACTAAAGTATTAATTCTTTATGTAGAATCTAGGCTATGTTCAGAACAGATACAAAATTTTTAGAAAATTTACTTGAAAAGCTATACTTAGATCTATTAGAACTTAGAAGGTGGTGAAAATTATACCTAACATAATAGTAATAATTAAAAGGTGAACTCATATGAAATCGAAACAATGTATCTGAATTGCATCAATTATGAAAGAATTTGAAATGTATTGATTCAATTCCACAGTGGAATTCTGCATACCAGGTCAATTTTTTTGCCGTCTTAATACAATTTTCATAATTTCTAATTGAACTAAATGTAGATTTACCAATGAATTTGAAACACCATTTTTTCATTGGCTTCAGACAGAGTCTTTGAGTTTAGTGTTTTTTTTTTTTTTTTTTTCCATTCTCATTCTGTTTGATAATGTTTCAGGACAAGCTGAAGCTGGTGTATATTTGTTGCGGCCGGATTGTCAATTGACGTATGCATTTCACCTGTGACCCCCCAAGTCGGAACTTCTTGGGCTAATGGTCCTGTAAGGTTTCTTGAAATTGTAGGAGTGCTTCAACTCCCAACGGATGGCTCAACCGAGGTTAAACCAAAAGTTTACAAGACTAGTAAAAAAATTTCCCAAACTGTAGATGTCTTTTGTTGATTATTCATGAGTGAATTATTATTATTATACAAACATTAGCAGGACCCTTAAAAAAAAAATTTCTCTTATTTTCTTTTATAAACTTCTTATAGGAGAAGAAATAGAAGGGAGAATTTGATTTTCTTTTCTTTCTTTTTCTTTTTTGTGTTTTGATTCAATTAGTTCTATTCATATCCAGTTTCTTTTATCTTAATTATTTTATATGTAAAAATAAATAATTAACATTTACCTCTGAGATTGAGTAAAAATTAAAAAAATAATAATAATAATTTAATTATATTTTGGTAAGTATTAATGCAATAATAAACCGTCCTAAAAGCCAATACAAGCCTGCAATGTCTCTCATGCGGGAAAGATACAGGAGAGGCACGTACATATGCACATACATATATATATATATATATAAATATATCTGTTTTGTAATCTTTTATTGTGTAAAATGTCTATTTAGTCTATTAAATATAATTTATTTACAGAGAATAGGTGGGTTTTAACTCAATAATTTTCTAAATTTTATGTTTTATATATGTGAAGGGAGAATTAATATAATTCAATGGTGATGTTCCTACTTTTACTGTTCTACTTTATTTCTAGTATTTATTTATACCTAACTTGTAAGAATTTCTGCATTTTTGTCTTATATAATAATATTATTATTTTTGGTATTTCACCGCGCTCCAAAATTTTTACATTTCGTAGCAAAGAGATATTCGTGAGTTAATTTAATATGATTGAGTGGTAGCATATTTTCCAAGAACAATGTTAGGATTATTAGTTACTGACAAAAGCAGTCAGAGCATTCTTATAAAAAAAAAAATTAATTAATTTTAAATAATTATTTCTCATTTATTCTTCAGATTATTTCTCATAAATTGTTGTACTGACTAATTTATTTTTATTTAAAGGGTTAATTTCAATAAACATTACTTATTTCCTTAAATAAAATACTTCAAGGTAAGACTTATAATTAATATAAAAAAAATTACTATAATAAAATATAACGTATAGAATTTATAGATAACTACAACACATGTTTACAGGTGCACATTTCACAGTAACAAGACACATAATTAGAATTTTACATTTAAACAATATTTATATACTTTTTTTTTAATTAAAGAAGTAGACAAAGTCATGTACAATAAAAACGCTTTTTTTGGTGACAACATTTATTGGATTATCTTAGTTTAATATTTTATTTGATCAATATTTCAAATTGCAATATGTAATAATTTACAATAGTTACATAACTATTTTTCTTTAGTATAAATATGTATTTTATTTGAAGTTTAAAGTTACATCATTAACTTCCCATAACCTAAATATCTATTAGTGCAGGAAGAATAAAAAAAAGGTAACAATAGAATTTGTAGGCTTTTAGAACTTGAGATCTCACTAATTTTACAACTTTAAAAATAAAAATAAAACTAAGAAAAAGAAAGTCTTAAAATATAGTTAAACCAATAATTTAATATGATTACTAATATTTTGTTTGGGATTGCCATCTGTTAGTCGCTCAAACCCTAGTCCATCTTCTTCCTTCAAATTTTCATGTTAATCCAAATACTTTACATTCCAAACATGGTCTTAAGCTCAAAATTTCTAATACCCCTAGGGTGGTTCAAGATAAGATATCCACCACTCTTCCCCCTTGTAGTGGGGCATACACTTATACTAGCGTAGCAGAAATCTTAGAGCAATCAATCAAATTATTAACTGTAGCAAACTCAAAGTAGAAAACTATACAGAGTCTGGACAACAAATGAAATCAAAGTAGGATAATGCCATATCTTAAAAACTTTTGCAGAATCTTCATCATCACTGTTCTCACAGTCTTGCTTAAATTGCTACCACAATATACAGCATAACTAGTTTTGTTTTGGCGGATCTCTAATCCTCACTATTGGAACCTTCTTCATCTTGATGATGTATCTTCTTTTCTCTTAAAAATAAAAAACAAAAAAGGAGAGTTTGAAAGTTCCTACAAAATAGAACATCTCTATTTCAATAACCTTGTATCTTCTTTGCTAATACTATAATGATCTATACCCAATAAACTGATGGCTCCAGTAATTTATCACAAGATAGAGCATCTCTATTTCAATAACCTTGTATCTTCTTTGCTAATACTATAATAATCTATACCCCGTAAACCGATGGCTCCAGTAATTTATCACAAAAAACCCAGTTCTTTCTGGATTTGGCCAATGGTAACCCTAACAAGATCTAGATCATAATGCAACAAAGAGAGTAATAGAGTTAATGTTCCATCAGGAACTTTCAAACCCATTAAATATACTCAGGCAATCAGGGAAAGGCATGATTTGAAGCCCAACTATAATTTGTAACAAGACCGGATACACATGTCAAAACATGTTAATACACTGACAGGTACTGATTGCAACCTACCACTTCCAAACCCTCAAAAAGTTTACTTATACACAAACATTAACCACGGGAGCAAAACCAGAAATCGGAGAGTAGGTCAGGAGACTTGCATTTACTTTATAACTAGAACTCAAATCTTTCCTGCTAAATACTGTCTTCCCAATAGGTATTCCATCCATCGTCAGATATCCTGAAAAGGCACTAACAACATGTTTGATTTGATTCAATAATTTTGTAATGTAAAGCAATATAACTAATTTTGTAATGCAAAGCAAAGTAACTGATTACAGAATTGAGAGGCTAGAATAATGATCATTACATCACAAGTATGATTACATGCTTATACAATGAAAACAAACAAGATAGTCATCAAACTTTTTACGTTACTTAGATCATTAAAAGAAACCAAACATGGTGTAAGCAGTAACTGCCTGAACCCTGAACCACTTGACTAAAATGGTCGAATGCTCCTATGTTGGAGCCCTGATTCTTTGGTCCAAACCCCTTAAGACACATCCTCAACTAAACTTGAAAATTGAAATCACTTAACTTGCGAGACATAGGATAAAATTCTTAACTTAACTTGAGAGACATAGGATAAAATTCTTCTAACATAAGCAAAACTGAACATTTTTTACCACAAAACAAAAATGAAACATACTCTTTGCCAACTTAAAAAGGAAAAAAAAACTACCCAAACGTAAGAGGGCACATACAGTCCATCCAACTCTAATTAACTGTTTGCTGGTGAGAACTGAATCTGAAAAACGTCACTAGTTCCGATTTTACTGCAGATTGAAATCGGAAGCAGAGGTTCTAAGTAATTTCTTATAAGAATAAAAAAGAGTCTAACATCTTTAAATAAGCAATTCCACCGAACGCCCATTGTGATCTTCTTTCCATTTTACTTTCTTGCTCAGTTTTCTCATCGATAAAGATAATACTAACTTGGAAACCCAGATATTCAATGAATTAACGGTGTAAACTAGTAAAACCTTACGAAGTTAAAAGAAAATGAAAATCTACATGGATTATCAACAGATAGCATATGTAAGAATCATGTTGCTCAAAACATCATTATCCTAATATTAGAGAAATCCAGAGTGTTCGACAAAATATTAGAAATTGAAAGAAAAAGCAAACCCTAGGAAGACAAGGATAAAGCAGCGGCAGGATTAGGGATCGTCAATCGATATCGCTATCATCGAAATCATCCTGGAAATTGTTGAAGAAATCGGCGTCAACAAGCTTGTTCTCGACGGAGACAACGCCCTCGCCGAATATCTCCAGTGGATCCACGTCATCTACGTCCATCGCCACTGTCGATCCTTGATCGTCCATATCTGCTATAAACTCCATCTGCATTGGCCTCATCTCTCTCACTCTCTCCCTTTCTAAGGCTCGCAACTCTCCGTGCTTTGTGCCCTCAGAATCAGAATAAGAAGCAAATGACAGGGGAAGGCGATCTTTCAGTTAGAGCATCATCTTCTGAAGTCGAGAACTTTCTCGACTCGTTAGGAAAAAAAAGAAAAATCAAAAATAAAATAAACTTTTATTTATGTAAGAGGCCAAAATATACATTTAAAATATGAAAATAATACAACAAGAATTATTACATGATATATTATATACGTCATAAAACAAAATAAAAATTATATTTTTATAAAAATATAAAAAATAAATTATTATGCTAAAAAGTTTCAGAATGACAAGAAATACAATGAAATTTAAAATTTTATAATAAGTTAATTATAATAAATAAATTTTTTTATAATATATGAACAAAAGCACTTAAATTTTTAGCCATATATATAATTTTTTAATTCTATAAAGTTTAATTATATATTTTAAATAAAATAAATATGGCAGGAATTTATTAGAGGGCACAAGTATATAATAATAAAGCATGAAAAGGCGTCGTTTTGATGAGGCCAAGTTCTTCAGAAACACATGTTTAAATATATTTTCATTTTTTTCCCCGTTTTTATTTAACTAATATTAAATTAATTTTATGTTTTATGCAGATATTATTATTTATCACAAATTTAATTTAAAATATTTGATTTATCAGATAATTAATTTAAAATCAGAAAAAAGGTTTATCTTAAACAAAATAAAGCAAATAATGCAAAGCTGCAAACGGTAATGGAATGGAGGAAGGTCTCCTGCTCACACTAGCGCTTCCTACATCCTGCTACATTACCTCGCCTCTTCCATGGCAACTCAAAAACCCAACTCTTTCTTCCTCATTTTCTAGTATTCATCGCTCCTCATGCACCTCCGCCACGATAATCAGGTGCTTCAAAGGAGTCCCATATGCCCAGAACGCTCGCTCCCAGAGGCTGCGGTTCAGTTTCAATCGTAATCGGTTCGACGACGAAGAAGAAGGTGATGGTGGTGGTGGTGGTGGTGATGATTTTGAGGATGATCTTGGAAGTTTGTTGAATAAGAGGAAGAAGAAGAGAAGGAAGAGAAAACGACAATGGTGGACCGATGGATTGGAGCTGGAGGAGGAGATGGATGATGTCTCGTCTGGTACTTTGGAGCAAGTTATCGATAGTCTTTGGATTCTTAAGGTAATTTCTTCTTTTTGATTTGAATTATCATGTTATTATTTCTAAATTAGGATCAAATTTGAATTGGGGCAGAGTTTGGATTTCAATTTGATGGATTTCAATGGTTTTAACTTGTGAAGTTCATAATTTGAGTAGGCAGTTTAAAATACTGTTTCTTCAGGTTTTAGCACTGAAGCTCTTGAAACGGTGTATTCATTAGACCAAAATGGACTAATGGTTTTAAGCTGTTACATTCTTTCTTATCAACATTGGTACTTATAAGGGTTCTAGGAAAGAATCCAATAAGCTTGCTGTAATGTTCTTTACCTTGTGAAATGAAAGCAAACCCATCCCCTTTTTTCTTTTCTTCCGTCTACATGATAACTTTCATGGTAATTGACAAGCAAGTCAGAGTTCACTTAAAGTTCAAGTTCTAATTTTATGGAATACAAACTCTCTGAGGAACAGCATATCATTTAAGGAAAAACAAACTTTGTAATGCCTCTAAAACTTTCCTTTTATACCACTAGAAGATTCATGGTAATTGACTTTGTGGGAGTTATCTTGTAAGTCAACATTCTTGTGCTCGTGGGTGGAATCCTTTTGTGCCTTGATTGACAAAACATTTTAGGATATGTTATATATATATATATAATGCACAGCTGGATGCTTTGACATGGCTTGTTAAGTTAATTGTGAGATTGGTCGTGATCACTTTATTTCCTGTGTACATGTTTTGGCAAGTTTCTGCCAGTTCAGCTTTAGCTTTTTTAGATTAAAAACTTCGAATTTGTTTGACAGTCACTTAGAGTCTTTAACTTCACTCTAATGATGTAAAGGGGACATGTCATCACAAGCAATTTTCTCTGAAGCATTTATGAAGTTTAACTTATGGATTGCTGCTTGCAGTTCTAATTTCTGAGAAACTTTGGACAGTATTCATTTACTAGTAAGTCCCTTTTGGTTTATTTCACTTCCGATTCCCAGAATTCAAGGTGTGTTGAGGGTTAATCAAACTCAAAAATTATCAAGCCTAATAGAAAAGTTAAACCTAAGAATTAGGTAAGAATTGATGGGAAATAAACCAAGCAGACAGTTACATTGCATTGGAGGCCTGATAGAGATGTGATAGTAAACTGGTTAAGATATTTGCTTTTTTCTTTCTGTTGATGCAGGTGTTTAAATCTTACGGTTGGTTGCTTCCAGTCATAATATTATCTCTTCTGCTAGCTACTGGTCCCAAAGCTTTCTTCACGGCATTAGCAGTAACCATTGGACAGTCAGCACTATTTCTAGCATTCCAGAAGCTAATGGGAAAGCATAAACCTGTTCCAAAAAAGAAGGGCAGGATAAGAAGGAAACCTTCTGCTGGCATTGGAATGAATTTTGAAATGGAGGAAGAACAAGACGAAAGTCTTAAAACGAGGAAGAAAAAGATGGGGAACCAATCATCAGTGGGTAGCAGTAATGGATCAGTTAACCATAGTGGTCAAAAAGTGCGTAGTTTTGGTGGATGGGATGAGCTCATTGAGCTGGATGGCATGGGATCTATGCAGGAGCCAGCTCAAATGGCAAAGGGCTCACAGAGGACTCCAAAGCACGAAAGCAAGTTAAGCAGGAGAGGAAGAACAAGTGAATCGCCATTAGTGTTGAGATTGTTGATGGCTGTCTTCCCATTTCTAAGCTCTTGGAAAGGGATACTTTGATGCCCAATTCCATCAAATTTACCTGCGAGTATTGAGGCTGAGTTACCACCAAATATAAGGGGGTTGTCTCCTTACTACCTGATCCCATTCCCTTCCATTGTAATGCTGAAGCAGTAAAAATTGAAGTTACCTGTGAGGCAAAATTCACAAGATATTATTCTACTTTGCCCAGTCCATTTAGTATGATCAATTACAATTTTGGGTAAGCAATTGTGATTCAGATGTATATTGAAAAGAAGTTTATCTTTTTCCTTGACATTCAGTATCCTGGTCCTTTCTCTTGTCCAATATAAACCTCTCACGTGATTGATAGGAATTTTGTTTCAGAAATATGGAATCTGTTTGTCCCTCATCTTTTGCTGGGTAGAGAAAGTTATCTTATTGATATCTCTTTATACAAAGTGGAATCAGCCAGAAAATTGTCCAAGTAAATGGACAAGCTTCTGATGAAGTAGCTTACTCTTCTGCACCATCCTCCGCGAACTGGTAGCACTTGGAACTTCTGGAGATATGGTTGTTAGTTTAGAGTACTGAGAAAATGTAGAGCTATTCTTTGGCTTTCTGATTGTTTATAGTTCAGCCAGTTTACTCTACGGTAAAGATGATGAAATGCCCGTGAGAATATCCAAAAAGAAAAACTTCGTATCTCATTTCTTTTCCTCATTTTCTTTGGAATTCCTGACCCAAAAAAAAATTATGAGAAGATCTTCCAAATTTCACAATTTTACCAACTAGAGCAGGCATTGATGCGAACATGTAATCTTCCTATCTCAATTATCATGATGAGGTGGCTTGTTATAGACAGCCAATTCTCTTAAGATGCCCTAAATTTTGAACCTGCTTTTCAAGTAATTTAGATAAATTTCTCATGCATTGGAGTAACCAGTGTCATTTCATACAACTGAGAGATTCTCCTTTAGCTTTCATAGAAAAATACCTTCCCATGAAATCGAATTACTTTTTGGTTATACCAATGTCAATACTTCAGCATACAAACTCTTTCTTCTCTTGATCATCAAAACTGTTTTTTTTTTTCTGTAAATTCTGATTGCATTAAATTTACACTTGACAACAATTAATGGAAATACCAAAGAATTCCTATCTAAAAAAAAGTTCAGATGAAAATTTCTATTTTGCAAAGAGTAGTCCTCGGTTGAGATAGCAAGCAGATACAGGGTCCTCAAGGCAGCCACAGAAAGCATCCTCATCCTTGGGAAATGAATTTGGTAGGGGATGATCAGGAATAACGCCAACCTATGTAAAGCAAGAGGAAGCTGGTTAGCATGATGAGAAGAGATAGACAGCAAGTGAAGGAATGCTATAGCACCTTGTCAATGTCGGTGTGAGCAGGTGTTTCATATCGAGCAACTGTGACAACTAAGCCAGAGCCATCAGACAGTTCAAAAACTGACTGAATCTTGCTGCAAAACCAAAATCTACTGTTTACATTGTGGATAGAACTGATGTCAATAGCATGTTGCAGAAAGGAAAATGTTACCCTTTCCCAAATGTTGGTTCTCCAAACAACACAGCACGTTTGTTGTCTTTTAATGCACCAGCTAATATCTCACTTGCACTTGCAGTACCTTTGTTCACCTGATAAGAGATCCGAAGAGCCATCATTGATTGGATACAACATTTCCGTTGAAAAACAAAAAACTTGATTGAATATCATAGATTTGGTAAATTCTTCAAATACTGTTCATATTCAATAGAGAGATAGAGAGAGGTTGATAAGAGACCAACTCAAAGATCGTACTTGAGAAATCAGAAAGAGAAATTTCAAATTATGATTTCTGCAACTTTCTCCTGCCCTATGTTTACTGAAATGAATTGGGTTCATTTAGGGAAAAGACCAGTCTCCAAGATTCATCGTACTCAGGAACTTTCTCTAAAAATTTATTGACAGTAATACGCTTATTGCCAGAACAAAATGCAAGTATATTTTTGGGACAACATAGAGCATAAAACTACCCCCAGGCAACTTCCCATAACTGCGTAAGTCCCAAATATGAGGAACAAAAGAGAGAATCTTCAAACTGTTAGATCTGTTGATAAACACACCTTTTTGTTGAAAAAAGAAGACCAAAAAGAAAAACAAACAAACAAACTGATGTTTGCTAATAATCCATAAGAGATAATTAGGCAAGGAAGCCTGAAGCCCAAGAAAATAAAAGGAACCACAGCTATAGCATATAATCCACCTACTTGGCAGATATCTAGAGCATGATTCTTAAGAATTCTAATGATCTGGTGCATTAGATAGTGTACCAGCACTGTCAGAGGTTCTGAAGCTGCTAATGCACTGCTTCCATCTGTGTCATAAATGTCTCGAACACCACGACTATCACAAATATACACAATTACACCTTTGTCTAGCCTGAAAAACAAACAGCCATTTAAGAAGCAATAGCATTATAGCTCTTAAATTCTTTTTATGTTTAGCACTCCGTAGGATGAAACTGACCTACCCTAGGATCTGCTACTGTAGCTTATAAGTTTGAATGAAATCAAAACTAAGAAGAATATTACTGAAAAATTTAGTTTAGGAAGTAATCTAATGTTTGAACCACAATGAAAACCACAGCTCAAAAAATCCAATTAAAAAGAGTTGAAACAGTAATGAAAATCAACAAAACCAGAGGTGGATGCTCACATGCATGCATGTTCTTAAAACATGTATTATCCATAACAAAATTCATGTTTGTTGGTCTGTATCTTTCAGTCTCTTACAGAACAGCTCAAAAGATCACCTTAACAAATTTGCAATCAACAACCATATAGTGGGCAGCAATTCTATATTTTGACATAGCTTATCATTTAATGTGCGTCAGAAAAAGTTTCAGGAAGCACAATATCAACAGCCACCAAAATTACCTGCCAGCAAATAACTCTGCTTATCTACACCAAACAAAAAAAATGTACCAACTTGATGCATAAAATAAAGGAACAATATATCTAAAACTAAAGACACCCAAATGCAGTGCAACAGTTCCATACACCTGGTTAACTTACCATATCTTTGCTATCTCAATTCCTTCCGGAAAAAGACCACCACTGCAGCAAATTTAAGCTTTCAGAAAACCTGTCATAAGACCGAGTTTAAATGGATTCGAAAGCTAATCACCTATTATCTCGAAGGTCCAAAACAAAGGCATTCACATTATTACTTCGTAAGGTACCAATTGCTTCCTTGACAGCACCTGCAACAATCAAAATTCGTAAGAATGAAAACATTTATCATAGAGAATTTTCAAGCTAGCATCAGTCTATATCAGAACCTATTGGCTCAGAAACACTGAAAGAGAAAGAAGAGAATGGGAGGAATGAGATTAAGAAGTCGTTTGGAATTGTTTAGCTTTAAGCACGTCATTTTAATATTCATATTTGGTAATGTTAAAAGATGAAATAAATCAAGATGTTCAAGAGCAAGTAAATCTAGTTAAAGGGTGTAATTGTTAAAGAGGAACTAAATCAGTGTGTTAAAAAGAAAGTACATCAGGTTAAAGGATATAAAGGTAAATTACACCTTTTGTAGTCAATTATCTATTCCCTTATTCCATCATGGAAAACTTATATTGTACTGTAATATTTAGTAAAATACACATCAAACTATTTTTAACATGTAACCAAAAAAGTAAGATGTTTCTTAATTTCTTTAAAAGGGATGCTAAAAGGTAGATAATAAGCATCTTATTCCTAACTTTTTAGGTTCTTATTTTTCTTGTCTAACAAATTTACTTCAACTACAATACATATCTGATACAAACATAAGATATTTATTTACGATAAATATATGTACTAACAATTTTTTTAGAAAAATATAACAGGTTATCTCTTACCATCTATATTTTATCAAAAACATTACTGCTTATCTTTTCTAACTAAAAATTTATCTGCTCTAAATAACCTAAATCTCCCTACTGCTTTCAGTACATTTCTTTCAGAAATTCCAAACACCCTCTTACGTAATTGAAATTTGGCGATAAACTTCAAACTTGAAGAGGTTTTTGATCAAGACTCAAACAAAAGGTAGATGCAATGAGTCACAATCTGAATCAGTTTCCGGAGAGATCACATATTGTAACTTAGACACTTTGTACAATATGAAACAAAAAGATTAAAGTAGCAGCTAATTATTCCTTGCAATCAAAATGATTAAATTAGATCCCAAGTACCAAATTATAATAACTAAAAGGACTATGTTGCCTTCCGTCTGTCTTCAGACAGTACAAAAATACAAATAAGGCAGCATTTTAGTCAAACAAGTATTACACATGAAGTCATTTTTTACTAACATTTCCCAATTATTTAGTATTAAATCCAAGGAGCTGCCAACCCATGAAAGCAAATGGATCATATACTGAAAGTCTATTGAAAAAAGTACAAGCAGCATCTCCACTCACCAGAAGCACGCTGATTGAATGATGTTAATTTAATATAACCAATCCTGGGGGTGTCTTTTCCAGAACCAGGAACTTCACACAGTCTTGATGTCACGGGATTGAGTGAAACTTTCTCTCTCCTGGATAACAGAAGTTGACAATAACTATGGGAGGTCCTAACAGTAAACTCAACCAATTCCCTCAACATATTTAAAGTCACAACACAAAATCTTCAACCATATAATGATTTTTATAAATATTTTAGGTTATTAAAATAATACTTTAGAATAACAAAACCTATAATAATGATTTAACAAAGAATTTTAATTAATATTTAAGAAAAAATAGATCTGTTGTCCAATATAGTTTCTTCTGATACAAGAAAAGTCAACTCCAAAAAGAAAGGAAGTGTATTTACGTCAAAGCTAAGTTCTTTATTTCAGATCCACTGCGGATGGTTAGCTCCACTGAGCTTCCTTCAGGTCCCCTGCATTTTGTCAGCAGTCTCTTTCAATAAATTACTTGAAAAGACAGAAGCTAATGAATAGAGGAACAATAAACTTTCAAACTGTGAAAAAAAAATCGAGCAGAGAAGTTCATCGTTCATTTCAAATGAGAAAAAGCAATTATTATTGTGAAAACCAGTGTATATCAGCATTCTCCTTTCTTCGAATCCCTTTCAGCATGGAGCAGTTGATCCAACAGGAACCTGCTTGGATCAACTCTAGGAGAGAGAGATCCCTCAATCAATCTTATGAAATGGTAGGAGCAATTTGCTTGGTTTAAGATTTTAGGAGTATTTTAGGAGGAAATGAATTATCTCCGTGGGATTCATTCAGAAATATTAGTTTTTATACTTCCAAGGATAGTTTTGCTTGTATTTCAAGGTACATATATGTGGCTCATGTTGCTTCTCTTTTTAAGCATCATAATTCATTTCCAAATTCTGTCAATTTTAATAGAATTTAAAATATACTATCCATTTTATTATAATTTATTTGAACTTGAGCTTTCACGTTTTGTGTTTGGAATAAGTATAAAAAACTAGAATCCCAATGAATTCCAAAAAAATAATTCATTTGCAAATATATGCAAGTGACTTTGTAAAGTATAAATACTCACTGCAAACGTTCTGCTGCATCATATATGCCCATGTTATCTGTGCTCACATTATCTATTGATAGGAGAATATCCCCAGACAATATACCAGCTCTATTTGCAGGACCTCCTGGGGCAGCTGAAATAACAACAAGGCCAGCAGGTGATCCATCAGATCCAGCAGGGTAGCCTATTGACAGCCCAACACCGGTAAGAGACCCTTGAGTTCCAGACTGCCTTCAGAAAAGATAGTAAAAGAATTCAGAAAGAATGACCATAGGTACAAAATTTTATCAAACATAACATTTGACTGCAGTGTGCTAGCTTTCATATTCATTCCTCATTGTAAACTGTAATGTAACAACAAATGAGCTGTACCCGCAAATTCTTAAATTTGTCAGGCTCTAGAAACCTGGTGAAAGGATCATCCAGTGTGGCAAGCATCTTCCTGATAGCCATATCTAAATGCAAATAAGTCAACATGACACATTAATTAATAACAGAAATAAGGTACAGATCTCAATAAAAAACTAGCTAGACCTTTTTTTCCTATCAGTACTGATTTTTAGAAGTCCTATGCATGATCAGGTAACAGCCCTTCACTTATCCAGGTGCCAACAAAGAGATAAACAAAATCATATCTGATCAACAAAACAAATGTATTTTAATTTAATAAAAACTTCAGCTATTACATCACCTTAATTTTGTGAAGAACAGATAACTAAGAGATTAGAGATTGCAAAGAGCAGAATGCATACATGTCTCTTGTCGTGTATTCATTGGTTCATTTCTTAATGCATTTTCTCTGTAGCGAAACCAGCTTTGGCCGTTGAAAGTTTTGTCAACGTAAGCACGATCAATTGTTCTCCATGCCTCTAAGAAGAGTAGATTCTCCTCACTAAGAGCCCCTGAAGGATAATAAAAGGAATTTAGGATGAAAGTAAACCATCCGATCCTCCATATTTTGCATCTAGCAGTGAATATTTTTAGATAAACATAAACTCACAGGAGGGATCATTGTTAACAGCAATAGAAACTGATGTAACAAGCAACACTGTAGCAACTAACTGGATGAAAAGAACAGAGACATGTCGTCTGATTTTTTCTGAGCAATTTATTACTTTCTGAGGACCACCAGTACATTTCCTGGATTTTAGAAGATTCAAATAACTTTTAGAAAATAGAGACTGAGAAGAAAAGCGTTTATTCAGCCAACAAATGGAACTACTGAGGAACCCAGGTGAAAAATCTCCATCACAGTTTCTAGATCTGTAACTATCATTTGTCCTTATACAAAATGTAGGATTCCAAGTTTGTGCTTCCGCAAGCTTCACAAGTTGTGATTTCCTAGGTCGCACCTGCAAAAGCTCAATTAAATTGTGATATACACTAAACAGAAGGTCGTTATCATTGTTTTTTCGAGCAAAAGACAATGTGTAAAAGAACCTACAGTTAAGTCCAAGGAAGTGTTAAAATCCGGTAGCAACGGATGAAAAAATCTGAATACAGTTCTTGACTTTAAAAATCAGAAGCATTTTTTGTTTAGGCAGTTCGAACAAGCTTACATAGGTGCAGTATCGAAGTCTCAACACCTTGTAGGTTCAATTCTGGAACATCTTAGATCAAATAAACCAAAATGGATAAGCTAACATTTCAGAAAATGGTTTTACCCCAGTAAATTACTGAAATGAAATGTATCACAGATGTAAGGTCCTTCTTTTCTCCTTTTATTTGAGCTTTGTTAAGAAACAGTACAAAGAAAAATAAAAGGATCCATATATCACAAGATTTGGTATAAATATACTAGAACAATGCCTGAATATCTAATAATCAGCCTTCATTATCAACAAACAAGCTTAGCCCCACATGCCATGTTTCAGGAAAGTTGCATCCCATTCACAATCTGCATGCCAAACATACTGCATTTAAAGTGACTTACGGAGAAAACTAGCTTATTAACCAAATCCTATCCCACTGACAAAGAAACAGATATACTAATCCATTACCCCAATAAAACTCCATTACGTGCTTGTTGCAGTAAATTTCTAAGTCTCATCAAACAAAAAGCACCGGTTCAATACTATTTATCAATACAATAACCAAAAAAAGAAAACATCCGAGCGAGCAAATACAATCTCTTCTCTCCAATCCGGTATTAGTCCAACTTTTTAACTAATCATGAATGCATAGAATCACTGTTCACTTGATATACATTTTGCTCACTCCACACTGAAACTGAAGAAACCGATCGTTCTCCGTCAAAACCATGCCTATCACTCGACCCCGTAATACAACGTTAGTTGCCAAAGCCAAAACTAGTCTTCTAATTCAGCTCCGAAATTAATTCAATATATTTATACATTCGTGCGGTTGTACAGTGTAAGTGAATTTCAAGACTTTCAACTCTCATCCACCTCAAGAAAAATCATCTTTAAGAAGAGCTCGAAGTAAAAAGAATAAGTATAACAGGGAAAAGAAAAGAGTACCTGAAACAGCGTAAGCTTCAAAATGAATTTAGGTTTTCTGTCGATGCAAGAGACGGTTAAATAAGGAGATAGACAAGAGCTTGCAAGAATTTCCATGGACAGAGCACCTTACAAATTTTAGCTTTGTTCTTCTCCCCTATCCTTTCTGTTTCTTATCAAGTTCTTATTTTTCGATGAACCGGGTTTAAATTTTATTAAGGAAATTGACAGAAAACATGTGCCAAAATGGCAAAACATTCTTATTATTTGAAAATGTTTAAATGACTCTATCAGAATTATCTTGAGCTTTTAATTTATATTTAAAATAATGTTAATTTTTTTCCTTTATAAACTAATTAAAAAATAAATATTATATCAAACACGTGGCATTTAACTATTAGCTATCCTATTTAATGAAAAACAATAATTAATTATAATAAATAAAATGTCATTTAAAATTTTTAGTACAATATACACAAAAAAAAAATAGTATATACATATAAAAGTTAATTATTAACTAAATTAACTGAAAACTACTGCAACTTATATGTGTATGTAATCTATACTTTTTGTACATTATAATAATAACATATATCTACATATATATAACTATGTATATGTAATTCTTTAACAATTATTATTCCATACAATCCAATGAGAAAAAGTCTAATTTTTAATTAAAAAAAATCACTTTATTAAAAATTTATTTGTCCATTAAAACTTGATTGGATGATTTATATAATGGTTCATTAATGTTGAATACGGTTTAGTACATACAAAATTTATTAATATTCAAATTTAATCATATTTAAATGATGATCTATTAATATTTGATAGTATCAATTATTTTTATTTGAATTAATAGTATGATATAATTATATATTTGAGCAAATTATCTATTTTGTTATTATTTTTTTATATATTATTATAAATAAATAAATAAAAAAAATATTTAATGTTAAATATAGAAATATATAGATATATATATTTAAATATATATATAATTAAATATATTATATACATATATATAAGTAAAATATTACGTACATGTATATTTATAATTAAAATATTATAAATATATATTTGTATATAATTAAATATATAAACACATATATAAATAAATCTTAGAGAAGTAAAAAAGAAGAATGATAAAATAAAAAATAATTTAGTAAATAAAAAAAATCTTAAAGATATAGTGAGAAAAAATAATTGAACTATCATAAAATTACTAAATTGATTATTTGAAAAAATAAAAAAAAAATCATGATACTGAGAATCATGATTCAACTAATAAAAAATTATATTATGTGTTTAAAAATATAAATAAAAAAAATTGTAAAAAAATCATATCATCTTCACTTAATGGTTTTCGTATTATATATATAATATATAACTATTATGCTTAAATAATCTTTATTATAAAAAAAAAATTATTGAATATAATTTAAAAGGTTATGCAACTTGTGAGCAATGTAACAAGTCATTTCCAAGAGAGACTACCTACTTTCACATTCATTAGAAATTTTCAAAATAAGATACATTTTTCAAGGATTGATACCTTCAGTTTATTAAAAAATATAGAATTAAGAAAATGGATAAAGAGAAAATTAGAAATATATATATATATATATATATACAAGGGGTCGGGGAAAAAGAGAAATGAAGGTTAGCAGATAAAGACAAAATAGGTAAGAAAATTCATAAATGTGAAACAAAGAAGAAATAATAAGAGATTGGATGGAAATACTGAAGGCGATGGTCATATTTTTGCTTTTAATAATATTTATTACCAGAAAATTTTGCAAGCTTTAACAAAATAAATAATAAATTATTGAAAAGAAAATGAAAAGTTGACTCTTTAATTTAAGATTTTTTTTTTAAAAAAAAAATTAATTTTAATAGACTTAGCTCAGAGGAATTTTCTCATCTAAAAAGAAAAATATTACTGGGAATTTATTTTTGTGTAATCATATAGAAAACGACAAAACAATGTTGACGGGTCAGTGTAAGTAACAGAGAAGACCTTGACTACAAACATTTAAATAATATTTATACATATATATATATGTAATGTATAAGTATGAAAGCTGACTTTTCTCTTCCTCCTATTTGTATTCAAAGTTTGCAGGTCTGATTAGAATATTTTGCGATACTGATGTGTACCAAACCTCTTTGCCTTTCAACTTACATGCCATACCAGCTTTCAATTTATTTGAATTCTTTATTTTCTGCATTTTCCTCACTCCTTCATGTATAGATATTTCCATATGTAAATTTAATTTTGTCAATGGTCAAACACTATATATATATATATATAATATGTATATACCCATTTAATTTTATCGACAAAAAGAGGCTCCAGAAGTCAAAAGAAATTAAAATGGTTTTAATAACTTTTTAAAATAAAGTTAAAGCGACTAACTAGTTATCGGTTATTGCAATCACGTAACATAGCTCTTTCACGAGACCCTCGATGGCTAGATGTGCAATACATATTCATCTCAAATAACACATATATGTACATATATATATATATGTATATATAGTGCGCATATATCTACATAATATGTGTATATTTTATAACTATGCCTGTGCAGATTCCCTTTTAGGTGTGTAATGTATATTCGTCTCAAATAACATATATATATCTATATATATGCGCACATACATGTGAATAATGTGTGTGTATATATATATATAATAACTATGCCTGTGCAGATTCCCTTTTAGAAAATTTCCACGTCGATCACGTCATCAGTCACAGGATTCTCCTAAAACCTAGGTGGGTGGGCCCCACCAGTGGCCGGAAAAGTCAAATTTGACTTTTCATTAATGATTTTGATTGGTTCACAAACCCATACGTCGTCGTTCCGTACAACTACCACTAAGTTGGAAAGCACCACCTCCGTTGATCTCCTTCGTATTATTATTACAAACACCATGACGTCAAAACTCATTTTATTTTTTTAATTATTTTTTTACATTATAAAATTTAAATAAACATTTTAAAAATGAAGAAAATAAAATTAAAACTAGAATTAAATTAAACAGGAGTAGGAGTACAAGACGACCTGGGTTCAATTTTTCTTAATTGAAACCCATTATTCTGCAACTCATTATCGTCGTCGTGGTAAACATACGCAAACCCTCCGTGTCTGGTCAAATCCATACCCGCCATCTCATCGTCAGCAGAGATCCTTAAAAGCTTCAGTTTACGAAGAATCAAGAACAAACTCCCCATCGTTGCACTCACCCAACCGGCTATTACTAATATCTGTATAATATGAGCCGCTAGAAGCCTCCCACCGCCGCCCATGAACAATCCGTACGGCCGAGGAATCTTGTTCGGGAAAACCTCGTTCACGAGCTTCTCCGACGCAAACAACGCCGTGAATATAATCCCCCAAGCTCCACAACCGCCGTGCAACTGCGCCGCCTCAAGTGGGTCGTCGAACTTCATCTTCTCCGCCAATTTGTTACACCCGATCAACACCAACGCCGCTACGAACCCACAAATGATAGCAGCCCAAGGCTCCACGACGGAGCAACCAGAGGTAATTGCAGCGAACCCACCGAGTAAACCGTTGCAGACGTCGGTCACGTTCCAGTGGCCGGAAAGTATTCTTTTTCCGAAGAGAGTAGTGAGTGCGGCTGTGCAACCGGCAAGTGTTGTGGTGACGGCGGTTCGTCCGACAGCGCTCCACTGGCCGTAAAAGTTCCCAGAGTTGTATGGTGCCAGGATTTTGACGAATGACCCGGGATTGAACCCGTACCACCCGAACCAGAGAAGGAAGGTGCCGAGGACGACGAGGGAGGCGCTGTGGCCGCGCAAGGCAATGGATTTCCCACCATTCTCGAAACGCCCGATTCTGGGACCTTCAATGAAGGCGCCCCAAAGTCCGGCGATACCACCCACCATGTGAACTACGCCGGAGCCGGCAAAGTCGATGACTCCTGATCCAAACAAGAGGTTTCCGTCGCCTCTAGTGGCACTAGCCCAGCCATCAACGGACCAGAACCAGTGAGAGACAACTGGGTAGACGAAACCGGTCAAGAAGGAGGAGTAAATGAGGTAAGCAACAAACTGGGTTCGCTCGGCTATGGAGCCGCTGGTGATGCCAGCCGCAGCTATGGCGAAAGCCCACTGGTAGAGGAAGAAGCTAAAGTCAAAGTTGGAGGAAGGGATTGACTTGAGAGCGAAGTTGTGACGGCCGATGAAGCCGTTGGAAGGAGTTCCAAAAGCGAAAGCGAAGCCGAAGAGGTAGTAGAAGAGGCCACCGGCGGCGGCGTCGAGAACGTTGGTGAGCATGATGTTCATGGTGTTTTTGGCGCGTACGGAACCGGCGCAGAGCATGGCGAAGCCGAGCTGCATGGAGAAAACCAAGTAGGCGGAGAAGAGGAGGTAAGTGGTGTCTACTGCGAAGCTCGTGTCGATGAATTTGTTGCAGATGAATTCGGCGGCCTCTGTCCCGTTTGGTCCCAGCAAGGGCGCGAGATCAGATGCGATGCACGCCATGGCTGAGAGAGAGAGAGAGACAGAGAAGATGGGTAGGCAGGTGAGAAGCGGGGGGGGATGAGTGAATATATAATTGGAGAAATGGAGAGGAGAAGACTTTTCAAATTTCATAATTCATTTGTTTTTATGAAAAATTAGTAATAAATTTTTTGAAAATGAAAAACATAAATGATTCTTGATCCCTAGGTATCTTTGAGTGGGTCCCGGGAATTTCTTTCCCCACATGCTGTTTATATATTCACCATCTTTAATGTGTTACTGTTAACAGATTAATTGTGATATATATTTTTTAATTTAAATGTTAATTATGTTTTTATTTATATATAAATATTATTAAATTACTAAAATATATGTACTTTTATTAAAAATTAGTAATGATTGATTAACTAAAAAAAGATAATTACAACTTGAGTCAGTTTATTTTTGTAAATTAATTAATAAAAAAAAAGCAAAAATACTTATTTTTGCTTTTATTTTTTCAGTACCATCAACTCTTGTTTTTATGTGATATTGGGATTGAACTTTAATTTCTAATAATTATTATACATGTTTGAGGACCATAATTGAAAATTTTACTACAAGGTGATATTTCAAAAGATAAATTTTGATTGTGAAATTTATTTAAATTACTATATTTCTTAATTTCAATCATAAGAGTTTTTATATAATTTTGATAGAATTATAACTATGTATTTTAAGTTAAAAAATTTACTCTATGTAAGTTTGTGATATATATATATATATATGCTTCATAATTAAAGTTAAAAAAAATAACAAAATAAAGTTCATTTTCCAAGAAAGAAAAGTCAATAATGGAACTATATAACCATACAAGCACAAAGTGATTTGTTTCCTTTAAAAAGGAATGCATTAAACATATGTTTAGATTTTTTATGTTAGGTATTTTATTTAATAAAAAATTGATATTTTCTTATGTAAAAATAAAAAGTAAATGTAAAAGTTCAAAACTAAAAGAAAAAGAGTTTATTATTTAAATGTAGAAGCGAACAATAAAGTTAAAGTTTACATTTATTACACAGTAAATTAGAATGCCCAATAGGGTCACGAGAATATCCATTCTCTATTGGTTTATAAAAAAAAGATAAACGATAACCAAAATAAATAAATAGATATCTTATGAGGTTAACCTCTACTAACACTTGAAGGGGAGTCCGGGAGGTAATCTACTCACAACTCTTTTGCTGATTGGAATCTGAATCTTGGTCTTCTTGATATGAAATAGTTGATAAAATGGTGAGTTATACTAACTCAGTAAAAATATCATACTAATCATTGATACAGAAAACTGAAGGTTTGTAAAAATTACAAAACAACTAATAGAGCCATTGATTTAAGTAAATACATTTAACTTTAAAATATTTTATTCCATACTTACCGTTACGAATTTTTCCAAAGTCAACCTATGAAGACAAGTAATCAAATGACATGTTAATTTCATGTATAAGATCAGTAATTCTTCATTTTTATGTAATATCCGGACCTGAAATTTGGTCTATGATTAATTTTAAAATTTAAAAAATGTATAAAAATATAATTTCAAAATTAATAAAATTTAATTTAATGTGGAAGTGTAGAAAAAATAGGTTGAGAACGAAATTGAAAATAATTTTTAAAAAAAGAGGTGAAAATTTGGGTTCGTAGAATGTTTTTGAAAGAAAAATAAAAAAATGGCGGTCAAAATGCAATTAAAAAAAATTGTGCCACGTAGGGCTGCTCAGTTAACAGCCTTGACGAACGGAACGCGCTAGTGGCAAGACACGTTGACTCGGTGCCACGCGGGAGGCCACGCTGGCGATCTGCATGCCCCGTGATTGGACGGCCCGGAAGCGTTCTCGCGCACGTGGACGGTCCGGATTCGTTTCCTCCTCAGGCGCGATCAGAGGGTCGCGATTAAAGCGATGAACAACCAAATTCATTTCCTCTTTAAACGCGATCGTACGATCAAAATCAAATCGCGATGAACAATTCAGATTAATTTTTTCTTTAAATGCGATGGATAATCGAGATCAAACGCGATGAACAACCGAGATTAACGCGAGATGAGTATAAATATTTTACATCACGCCAAATTCAAACCCTAACCGCCAGCCCTGAATCAGAGAAGAAGAACCAGTCGCCATAGAAGGGAGCCGACCGCCACCTCTCCGGAGCCACCTCTGACCACAAAAAAAAAGTAAAAATTATCATATCCGCTCAGAATTTGATTCCAAGCACCTCCATGGCCAAATTGGAGCAAAAAAAATGACGGATGAGCTGAAAATTGCGGGCGAAGTCTGGCAGCACCACTGCAAGCAAAACCCACAACTGCCTCCGATGAGCCCCTTTTCGTTTCCCATTTTTTCACCATTGTGTTCACCGTTCTGTTTTCTATAGGTTCACTGAAGAAAAATGCCCAGTCGCCAAGGTGAGCCAGTGGAGCCACCGCACCAGAAAATCATGCCGCTTGTAGGTTTTCGTTTTTTGACATTTTTTGGCCAACCGATGCCTCTTAACGTGTTTTCTCATAGGGATGGGTATAAAATCAGCCGAAACAGGCCAAAATTTGCCAAAAAAAGGGCACGCTGAGGGAAACTGCCATCGCGGGCGGCGGTGCTGTCGTTGGAGCACGACGGTGTCACCGTGTTGGAATTCTAAAATTTGCCGAAAAAGATTTTTTAACACCAATTTTGAGTATTTCTAGGTACGTGAAATATGTTTTAATCTCCGTAGAAAAATTCAGGAAACCTGGGGACCGCCAGTAGACGCAGTAAAAAGTTTAGTGTTTCGGATATCGATTCATGTAAGAATCTATCACCTTATTCTCTGTTATAGAATTGAAGCTTAATAATTGATAATATATTATTTTGTGTAATTTAAAAAATTTTGAGAATAATTAAAGGTTACTGATGGAGTCGGAACTAGTTAGTTATTTATTTGTTCTGATAACTGATTGTTGAATTTACAACTTTAAATACGTGATGATGTACTAGAATGATTGAATGATTCAGTTGTACTTTCTTGATATATATATTTCTTGTCTTGTGTGATTTACTATTGATTTGTGAAATTATAAATTAATATGCAAACAGAAAATTGATTGGTTATGTGAATTAATGAATGGTAGCCTTACTGGATATCCTGGGAGACGGTGGACGATCGGGTACATAGGGAACCCTACCGTGAACGTTGCCTCATACCGGACGGGGTATGGAGATGACCGGTTAGTTGACAATATTGGATATTGGTTCACGCGTAGTAGGACATTTTTATGAGCCCCTAGGAATACCAGTAGGCAAATAAAAATAGAAAGTGATTGTTATTGCTCAATTGAAAATGAGATTGGAATGTTATTCGAGTTATTGTATCTCTCTAGGTCGATTTATGGAATTCGCAATAGTAAATATATGCAATAAATGGTTTTCCTTATGATAAATGAATTTACTTAAATCAATAGCTAAATTGGTTGTTTTTAAGATTTTTACCAACCTTCAGTTTTTGTATCGGTCAGTAGTGTGATATTCTTACTAGGATAATGTAACTCACCATCTCATTAATTATTTCAGATCTAGAGGACCAAGACCTAAATCCCTGATCAATAAGAGGGTTGTAAATAGTTCATCACCCGGACTCCCTTCAAAAGCTAGTGAAAGTCGTCATAGAATATTCAACATATTGCCTTTTATTTATTTCTTTGATTTTTGTTTATTCTTTTAGAATAGTCATTCTCGTAGCCTTATTGGGCATTCTAAATTATTATGTAAGGAATGTAAAACTTAAAATCTATTATTTCGCTTTCACACTTAATTTATAACTTTATTTTATTTTTTAAGTTCCAGATCTTTATAGTTGGTATTAGAGCTACGTTCCTCAGAATTATTCCTTACACAAAGACTTAAGGCAATACCAAAAAAATGAATTATCACTTAACCATTTATTGTGAAATGCAGGTATAGATAGATGAGGAGAGAAAGACACCACTAAACTGAGCAACCCAAGAGGGTTCGCTTTGAGAATATGTTGACCGACTATTTGAAATGTTGGAGAGACTTATCATTGTCCAGTAGGCTCGGGAGGAAAGGAGGGAGCTACTTGACCCTCCACCATTGCCACAGTTTAAGTCACCCCTGCAGCAAGAGGATCCTGAGCCACTCTAGTATGACCCTGCTCCTTTACAGTACTATGGACACCACTACAGTATGGTCCAGTGCCTCAATCGCATCACCCGACACCACCACAGTATGGTTCGGTGCCCTAATCACATCACCTGACACCACCATAGTATGATCTGATGCCCTAATCTCATCACCCGGCACCACCAGAATATAATTTGGTGCCTCCACCATATCATCCAATGCCACCACAGGGTCATCTGGTCCCTCTCAAGCACAATCTAATCCCTCTTCCACGGGACCCAGTTCTACCTATAATGGATCCAGACAACATTGAAAGGTATAAATTACTAAACTAATCTACTTTTGCAAGGGCATTCTCCTTTGAAGAGGCCGAGTACTGGTTAGTTGAGACAGAGAAGACTTTCATGACTCTTGGAGTGGTTTCCGAATAGAGAGTTATACTCGCCACCTACATGCTGGTGGGAGAGGCAGGTCACTGGTGGCAACTCAAGTAGGCCACTCTGCCTGTTTCAGTCACTTGGGAACAGTTCCTGATGACCTTTAATGCAGAGTACCTCCCAGAGCATCTCCGACATCTAAAAGAAATGGAGTTTGCACACCTGGTCCAAGGTTATATGACTGTATCAGAATATGTCTGAAATTTTCTAGAGTTGGGCCGGTATTTCCCTGAGAGCATGATGGATGAAGGCAGAAGGGTAAGAAAGTTCGAGTAGGGCCTCCGTCCTGAGATTAGATAGCAGCTGTATGTGTTCGAGCTCAGTACTTACTCAGCCGTTCTGGCCAAGGCACAGCTAGTGGAGAGAAACCTTCACATTTTTCCTCCAGCAGTAGGGAACCTCAGGCCCCCAGTTTCACATTGCAGACCAGCACTCATTGCACTTGTTCAGCAGAACAAGAGACCTAGGCCAGTGATTCAAGCTCATTC